GTGGGGCGTGGGGGTNGGGGTGGGGGTGATGCCCCAGCCCCAGCCACATCCCTGTTGCACCCCGCCTCTGCCTGTGTCGAACCAGGGCCAAAATTCTGCACCGACGGTGTGCACGTGTGTCCGCTCCCGTGGCGCAGGAGGATTGGGACAACTACATCGGTGGGAGAAGTGCTCTGTGGCGCCGCCGCCTGCCATGACCCAGCCCCTACCCTCCCCTCCTCTCCCCGCCTGCCATCCCCCCACCCCACCCCACACGCACCACTCCCGCCGCCTGCCGCAGACATCATCATCGACGCCAGCTCCCCCAAGGCTGCCGCCGCGCTGACCACGCTCCAGGCCTACCAGGTGGACGAGGGCTACGCCTCCGTGTACAACCCTGGTGAGGGGGAGCCCCGCGGGCCCGCCTGCTCGCATCCCCCTTCCCTCCCCGTTTTCCTTCTCCCAGCACCCTCCCCCCTTGCTCCCTGCTCTCTTCCCGGCGGCTCTTCTCTCACTGCATTCTGCCGGCTGGTACTAATCCTGTGTTGCTGCGGATGCCCAGAACTAGAGTGAGAGTCCTGACTGGTGCCGGCTGCCTGCCCACCCCGCACCATGTGTGCGCGCAGGCGGGCCGGGCAACAACCCCGTGCCGGGCGTGCTCTACAGCTCCGCGGCGCCTCCCCAGGCGCGCCCTGCCGGCAGCTGTCGCCGCCACGCCCTGCCTGCCTGGTGCCGTGCCCTGTGGCCCATGGTGCAGCCCGCATGGTGTGGCCCTCCCGCCAGCGGTGGCACATCCTCCCATCACCAGTGAACGCCCGCCGCCGCTGCGTGGCTGCGAACCTCGCCTGCAGACCATCCCCATCACCGCAGCACTCGCCGACCCCCAGACCGTCACCTACTGCGACCTGAACGGCACCATCATCACCAATGCCCAGCTCTGCACCCAGGCGCTCAACATGGCGCTGGCCGCCAGCGCCCCACCGTCCGCCGCACCCGCTGCCTCGCCCGCCGCCGCCCCCTCCGGCGCTGCCGCCCCCGAGGCCGCCCCCTCCCCAGCGGCCGCCGAAGAGGCCGCCCCTGCCCCTGAAGCTGCCACCACCTCTGGCGCCGCCGGCCTGGAGCGTCCCGCCCTCCTGGCGCTGAGCGCGGCCGCGGCGGCGCTGCTTCTCCTCTGAGAGCCATGCCCGACGGGCGGCCTGCACGGCTCCCTCGCTCTCTATCTTGCCACTACCTGGCGTGCCGCTACCTGGCGTGCCCAAGCCATTCAATTTTTTTCTGACCACTCCTGTGACCGCTCCCCATGACATGTACCCGTGACAACCCCTTCCCAATCCATGCATTCCAAACTTCTGTCGGGACTCCCCCATGGGGGGGCTGAGGAAATGTTGCGCATGCGCAGTGTGCATACTGCCATCCTCATCTTCCCCCTCCCAAGCCTGGACAGAGAGGCGCCCAAACATGACTTGTAAAGTGATTCGTTGCAGCTGGTGGCATGTGCGATCCCGGGGCACGCCCCAAGCAGTGCGGCAAGGCACATGCAAAATGAGAGGCAGCAGGCACGCACGGCGAAGCGTTACGAGAAGGGAATGCTCTGCATCATGAGGCCGGCTGCCGCAGCCGCCGCCCCGCCCTGCTGCTGCTGCTGCTGCTGCATCGCCTGCTGGGGCGTCAGCGTGGGGGCGGCTCCCGCGGCGGCTGGCGCCGGCGGGGCGCTGCCGACGTACAGCTTGCGCAGGGCGGGGAGCAGCGCCAGCTGGGGCGGCAGCTGGTCATGCCTGATGGGGTTCTGGTCCAGGTAGATCTCCTGCAGGCTGCTCAGCTGCGCCAGCTCAGCAGGCACCGTCTCCAGCCGGTTGCGGTCCAGCCACAGCCGCTTCAGGCCCGTCAGCCGCCCCAGCTCCGGCGGCACGCTGGTCAGCTGGTTGCTGTACAGCCACAGCTCCTGCGGCGCAACAAGCAACACGCAGGGGAGGTGGCAGGGGTTGGGCGCGGTGGTGGAGATGGGTGATTCATATCAGGATCACACACTTCAACACACAACCCCGCACTCAGCAGAGACCCCTCTGGCCCGCTGCCACCACCCTTCTGCCGGCCCCTTGCTTCCAAAGGTCGGAGCGGTGGCGGCGGCTGCGTGCCTGCAGGGCTGTCATGCCGGCGATCTCTGGCGGCACGGTCGTGAGCCGGTTCTGGTACAGGCTGAGCCGCAGGCACTCGGTGAGGCGGCCCAGCTCGGGAGGCACGGAGGGCAGCTCGTTGCTGTGCAGGCTGCAGGTGGGTGGGGTGGGGGGGGGGGTGGGGGGGGACCGGACCCCCGGGGTCACATGGCTGGGTGGCTGAACAGGCAGTGCTTGTGGCCCACAGCTGGGAACTCAGGCTTTTTCTGGGGATTATCGCCTTTTTGGGGGGGTTTGGTTTGGCATGCTGGAACCAGCTGTTCCGCAACTGCA